TCAGCTGCACAATCTTTTATTGAGAAATTGCTACAAACAATCAGCACTAGTGTTACATAGTTCGTGTTAGAGCAGGAAAGTTGTGGGGGAGAGCTCTTTCAGTGTCAGTTGGCTCCTCTACCACCACGGATACGACCATCCCCACGGCTTGCCCCATTGCGGAGCCGCCCATGATGACCACGCACATGGCGACTCACATTGTGGCACCACCCATGATGACCATGCACCCTTCTCACCACACTGTGAACCCTGTTTGACACCAGTCCACGGTGCCCACTTCCACGGATGCGAATATGGCCAGCCACCGAATCCCATTTCTCTGATTATCTCCTTGTTTCCTTTGATACTCACTCGCCTGCTCAGATGTGTCGCCTTTTATACCCTTCTCGTCGTCTCTAAACTCTTCGCGTGACATTCCTGCTCCACGTGGTGATCACGCTTTATGTACTTTTGGTACTACGTTCATACTTGTTGCACGCCACCATCACACTCGTGATGCCTACGTCATGAATGGCTCGCAGCTGGAGAGACCACCCTTGATCTGGTGAACGAAGGTGATGAGACGCTTTATTGACAATGCCACAGACTCTCTAAATAAGCAAGTGTACGTCAGTGTAGATGTCGATAATGGCAATGAATTGATGGTCTGATTTTCTATCAGAAATGGCTTGCCGATATCTTAATCGTGATTATTCCACCTTGTCCTCCTAATCATAACCAGACACTCAGATACTTTGTGCAGTGCATGACTGTGATATTTTCTTAGTTTCAGTGCAAAAGGCTTTTAAATAGCAAATGTTCCTTCCCTGTTTAATGCTTACTCAAGCATTAATAACAAATGTTAAACACGCCTAAGTTTGTTAAATTCTTTCTTACTTTCTCTGCGTTTTGCAATATAATCGCGAAATTATGCGCCTTTTAGCACGTATTTTAATTGCCTCGCATTCTCACATGAATATAAATAGCTCTTTCCAGTGAGTAATTTTAGAATTACGTAAAAATGAAAACGAAGGCAGGTTAATGCGTGCATGCAAGCAAATTAATTACTTTGTAATGATTCTCATATCGAATTTAAAAAACAGCACAACTAATGGAGGAAAAAGATGAGTGCTGATTATAAGTAGACTGAGACAGTGATATTCAAGCAATGCAATGTTTTCGGCCCTTGCGACCATCTACAGAATTGCAGATCTGCCTAATAGACACCCAGACCACTGTGAACCTAACAAAAGCCATTACTCTTTTAATATTAACCTCCTGTCGTATTATATCTTGATTATTTTA